TTAAGCTATCAGCAGGGAAAGCCACAGGATTTGTAACCCTCATCATCCAACAGACACCTCGGAGCGCGGCTCATCTTGGACAGAAAAACGTCTGTTTTAAAAATACTTGCCTCTCCCTAACTTGTCATGGCATTTGTTGACAACCCTATTGAAAGCCGCTCTCCGTGCGGCTGTGAAGGATCTTTCAGCACCTCTTTCTCTTTCCTAGACAGTTTTTTGAAAGGGAGGGGAAGGGGGGGAAAACCATCAATACGGGGGGAAAAAGGCAGCAGCAGCCACCGGCGGCTGCTGAAGGGCCTCACCTGGGCCCCCAGCGCACCGCCTCCAATTAAATCAAAATGGGTTGTTTTTAATGGTCTTTTACACTGACAAGTGGGCTATCATTCCAGGCCTAGAGAGCTGTCAGGGAGCCGAGGCAAATCCTCGGTTGATAATGCCCAACGCTTCCAATTAGGAGCCGAGGCCGCTCCTGGCGCACTAACGATTCCCCAGCCTCCCCCAAGGCCCCTTCGGCACCGGCTGCTCCTTCTTCCCTCCTTCCTCCTCCTCAAATTACTGCCACAAAACGGCAGCGCCCGGTGCCTCCTCCCCACGCCGGGCCCCGGCCCTCCCGGATTTAATGAGGCGATGGAAGTTTTTTTGCGGCTCTTTCGCTAAATTCTTTTCTTGTTTGACAGCTGCTTGAGTGTTGACCTTATAAAAGATTTAGTGTTTCTCATTATTTTCTGTCAAGCTTTACAAGCCGGGGCTTCACGGAAATCATTTGCATCTCCATGCACATGTGGGGTTGGGTTTTTTTTCCCTGCCTGTGCAGGGGATGCTCATGGACCACCCGACCCTGCTCCGTGTGGTGGGTTTTATTCCTCCTCCCACCCCCGCTCCAAAAATATCTCCATGGCACTGTTGTTTTGTGGAGGAAAAGCACCAAAACAGACAGCCAGGAGAGGACTTTAAAGGCTGAGGATTTGTTAAGGGTTCTGTAAATGAGGGAGGTTTTGAAAGAGGAATCGAGGTTGGTTTCCTGTAGAGAGAGCCCGGGAAAGTGTTTTGTCACCAGCTAAAAGGATTCCATCGGATGGATGATGGAAAAACCGGGCTGAGTGGAGGGGTGGCTTTGTTGTTCAAGGGAACATTTGTAGGAGGTTGGGAGCTGCCTTGGAGCAGGGGGCAGAGCCAGGCAGGAGCTGGGAGAGGGACAGGTACAGCCACAACTCCCTCCAGCTGAGCTTGGAACCTCCCAGGGCAGGAGGAGAGCCCAGTGCTTATTACTTCTTTCAGCCCTTTGCATGGGTCCCATCTCAACACTTCCTACAAATGATCCCAAACCATTTAATCCAGCTATATTCATGAAAACTTCCCCCCAGAAGCTAAGCTTACTGACCACCCAAGGATGCTCACAGTGCCCAGCAGCTGCAGCACACACCCCCCAGCCCCTCAGCATCAACAAACCCAATGCCAACAGCACCCACGAAACCCTGGTGGGTCCCTGGGGTGTGTGCTGTGCTGCCACTGGGGAGCTCTGCCTCCCCTGGACCAGCTCAGCCTTTCTGTACCTCACATGCAATTTATTAGCCCTCTATTAACAGACCTGCTTCTGCTTGCAGCTTCTACATGGTTGTACTAAACCTTGACAAGTGGTTATTTACAGTCCTCTTATTTAAAACATTATAATGACAGAGAAACCCAAATGAAAATAATACCCAAATACCTAATTAAGTTTTAGGAGTGATAAGGGGGTTTATTTTATTGCCCCTTTAATTCTCTGAAGCCAGCACTGGCATTGCAAGATTCCAGCTGCAAGTGTCCTGCAGGTTTTAATTTGCCCATAAAAAGTTCAAGATCAGGTTGGATGGGGCCTGGAGCAACCTGGTCTAGGGGGAGGTGTCCCTGCCCATGCAGGGGGGTTGGAACTGGATGATCTTGAAGGTCCCTTTCAACCCAAACCATTTTATGATAAGCACTGAATAACAGCAAAACATTGCTTCAAACCAGCAGCTGAAAACCATTGCAGCTCCATCATCCTGCCAGGAAAACCACCAAGCTTGTGCCTACAAACTATATTCCTGTCCTGCTACAGCCAGTGCTCCAAATCCACAATCCAGCCAAAATCCTGGCATAACAGCCCATAGCCACATCAGAGCAATGGTAAAGCTCATCAGCAGTCCCTAGAGGAAACACCTTCGAGTTCATCAATTCAAATATGAATTAGAAGGATCAGAGATGAGGAATCATCACTAGCATAGACTTCTCAACACCGGTCTGTCATAATAAGACCTTTGACACAAGGACACCCTTACCTTGACACTAATTACTGGCCCTCGTTGTGGGAGGGCTTCTCATTCTTTTAAATAGCACTTGTCCCCTGTCCTACACCTGGTGCTTCCCACTTACTCATGATGGGGGCAGAACCTGGCATCCCTCACAACTTTGTCAATGCTCTGCTCATTTTAATTCCTGTCAGTTGTGGCTCAGGGTGACATCTCTCACCTGGGAGCTTTGTACCAAGGCTGGGATGAACAAACTGCTGCTTCCTCCCCTGTGGCTTCAACCCAGTCCCAAGCAGAATTTTCCTTCTGCCAGTTCCCAGTGCCAGTGGGCAGGGAGCACACTGGGGAAAACAGCTCAGAAGCAGCTCAGCTGTCCCTACCTGCAGGCTCTGGATTTTTCTAACAATCCCAGCTCTGAGGGGAAAAACTCCTGCATCTTTAACAGGAGGTTGGAGTTGGTCAGCTGAGAATTGTCCCTGCAAGCTCAAGGGGGGCTGCCCACCTCCTTCAGCAGCCCTTGGTTGTGTCTCCCCAACCTTTCCCTCCCAGAGCAGGGCTGTGTCACTGCTGCTGCTTGTGAGAAAGGAAAAACATCCAGAAACAGCTGAAGTTCAGCACTCAAATGCATATTTAAGTACCTGAACGCCTTCCTCCAGAGAGGGGGAAGAGCTAAAGACGCTTTGTTTGTCTTGATTAATGAGATCACTAGCGAGCTTTTCAGGGCAAGGGCTGCTGTGCGTTTTTACATATGCAAAACCCGACACCCAGCCAGGCTGAGCGGGGTGGGGGCAGCGGGAGGCAGCTCCGATGGATGGCACAGGGAATTGTGCCTCTGGCCCCCCATGGTAAACCCACCCCCTGTAAGACCACATCTCAGTAAGTCCTCATCTGCTGCAGAGGTTTGCAGCTGTGTGCAAGCCCACAGCTCACCCCAGAGGAGCTTCCCTGGGAGCTCAGAGCCCATCCAGGCCCCCCAGGGAGGGACACACACCCTATGTTGTGGGAAACAAGTCACACATTTCAGGGTCCACCTTAGGGCACACCAGCATTTGAAAACATCAGACCATGAGCACACCCTAGAAAGACTAAAAAAGCTTGTTATTAGAGCAGAATAAGGAGCTCCTGAAGTCAATCAGAAAACTACTCCTCGTTTTAAACAGGTTTTGGTGTTTAACTTCAGCTGGACCAACACTTCCCAAACAGGCAAAACCCTCACTCTCATCTGCAGCCTCTTCCCTGTTTGTGCTACAGCCTGTTCTCTTTGCCCAGCTGCTCACTGTAACCAATCATCTATCTGCTCCTTTCCTTTAGGTTGAGCCTCATCTCAATACTTTTCCAAGCCGGGAAGCTCGTGAAAAGGCATTGAGTGCCTCCCAGTGAGAAGTGCCTTCCCCAGATCATCCCTGCAGCAAGGACCACAGCACTGTGCTGGGCACCACAGCCCTCAGCCCCTGCCATAGCCATGGGCTTTCTCTCTGGTTTTCACAAGTTATTCTAATGCAGATATAGCCAAATAAAACAAATGTGAAAGGAATGATTCTGTCTCAGCCTGTTCATTGCTTTGTGTCAGATGCACAACTCCTTACTCAGTCTGATCACCAGGAACAGCCCTCACACCAGGAGCAGAGCAGTGTTCACACCAGGACAACCCCAGAGGGGAAGCAGAACAGTCTCTTTCACTGCCTGCTCTGAACAATCTCATTAAACACAACCACATCCCAGGCAAAACCAAGTCCATAATATCTCATAATCCATCATCCCTTCTCATTTCTTTGCTAAAGAAGCTTCCCATCACTGCCTGATTCAGCAAAGCCCTTTCCTCTGTGAAGGCACCCAAATACCTGCCTTCAGGTCTCTGCCAAGCTGAGGCCTCATCACAGAGTGATGCCTCCACTTGAACATGGCCCCAGCCAGCTCCACACTCATCCTCAAAAAGCTGCTGATGCCTGGTGCCTCCCCAGGACTCAGCCTCCCCAAGCAGTTGCTGAACAAATTCAAACTCCAACACTAACTCAACATCACAGACCCCAGCCTGGTCACCAACAGGTGACAGCAGGGGTTCAGAATGACACCAACATGTTTAAAATCAAACTCCTCCCAAGAAGGCACCTCACCTTAAAGAAGTACCACTTGGTAATAACTGTGGTTGCTTTAACTGTGCTAGAGGAATAATTAAATTCTCCTACACAGTCTGCTTCTCACACCTACCATTGTGTCTCAGACCCATCAGCAGCCAAGGGACATGATGAGCCCAAGGCTCATCTCCCACCACATTTCCAGCCAAACTTTTAAACCAGACTGTGAAGAGCAGAGTCTTTCACAACATTAAACTCCATTTGTCAAAACACAAGAACAAAATAAACTGCAGAGGCAGCTTTTCTTACCTTTTCTAGGACAAGGCTCTACACCAACTCCCCCAGCACTTCCAGCAGCTACTGCTCAGGGGCAACTGGTGCCTCAACCTGCCCTTTATATAAGGATGCAGCTGTAGGAAACTCCACCCTGCTCATACCTGAGTGAGGCAGAACAGGAATCACCTGCTCCACACCTGGGAAACCCGGGTGTAAGGTTCCTTCTTTTTAGTAAGGACCCATATAAATAAATAAATAAAGTAAATATAGCCCATCTAAAACAACTAGGAAGATCACAGTAGGGTTTGCCATGCTGGCAGGGGTACATTATAACCTGAGACCTTTCCCACTTCCCCAGGGAGGGAGAAAGCTGGGCCTTAAATGACTTGTCTGACTAAAAATGGCACCATGAATGAGTGTGTGAGAAACTGAGGCACGAGGTTTGTGCTGCTGCCTGGCAGGAGCCACATCCAGCCCTTGGTCCAGCCACAGCATCTGTGCCCACCTGCAGCAATTGCTGAGGTCCTTGGGCCGTGCCCAGGGGAGGAACCAAGTCCTGGGAAAGGGCTGGTGAGCAAAGCCCACGCAGACCTGCTGATCCAGAAACCCCTGGAGACCAGAAACCCAAAAAAAGCACCAGCTGAGTCCAACCAAGTGTGTTCAGGAGGAGGCACCGCTCCCTGGGGCTCGTACCCGTCAGACCCGCCCCACTGCGTCCCCAAACCCTGGCCAGGATCGTCCCCCAGATGACCCGAGTGTTGCAGCTCGGACGGGCCGTCCCCTCCCCGACCCC